AAGCAAAGCTATCTGATAGTGGCAGGAAAATATGAAACACAGTACATGCGGACGATTGACCTTGTAAATGAAACCATTACTGTTTTAAAGTCAAAGAACAATTATGCGCATTGCATACTTCTTTAAAAATCTCATGTCACATCAGCGAAAACGTCACCTTTGAAGTCATGAAGTTTCAATCGTGGATAACTTCGACAACATGTATTTATTCCTGATCCCTCAAATGTGGAAAAGCGAGAGCACATCCTCTAAGCGAAGGCTAAGTTCTCATGTTCCACACTGTTTGAGCCACCTCTGCCCCTTCAATCGCAACAGTTTTGTCAAAATCGCTAAGATTCAGAATCGCTCAAAGCCTCACTTCGATGCTTTCGCAACTCATTCAACTTCGTGATTCCATTATCGCTCACTCTTACACTTCCCAGAAATTGGTTGGATCTGGCTAATCTTTTGGAATGCGCCATGTTTTCAATTTCGAGTGGAGCCTTTGAATAAGTATATGTCTCGCTAATAAATAACGAAAACGAGCACGTAGAGATTTCGGAGCTGTTGTTTCCACATCTACATATTCATAGCAAATACTGATCCCGAAAGTAAGCTCAAACTGAAGATCTTCCATGAATCTAAGCAGGGCAAACGACGCTTAGTCTTAGTGTTCGCTGCGCCCTTTCGATAGCTTCAATACCCTTGCTCAGCCTTTGACCTCTTTCTCTTCCGCACACACTAACCACCTTATCGGTGCATGCAAAGTGCCATGAAGTTGTTTAAAGAAGACGTGCATCCTAGATCAAGTAAGATAATGTTTGTTCTATACAAAAAAAGATTCCTGCCCTTGGATGTTTTTTAATGGGCGCCGCTAGAAAAGAAATCTACAATATTGCAATGAGCAGTAGATGCAGTATTCAAAAAATGTATGGCGCAAAGCATCAAAAACCCTCTAAAATGCTCCAAAAATCGGGCCACGCCATGCATGCCAATCACGTGTGATTGCGTAACGCCTTACAAGTGTAGTAATGTTGACTATGATTACTTGCTTACATTAATCTTCTCCCGATGCAACATCGATTTAGAGCAGCTGTTATCGAATAGACACTGATAAGCGAGATAATCCTTCTATTTTATAAAGCGCTAACTTTGTGTGTCGGTTTGTATGTCTGTATGTGTGTGCGTATGTATGTATGTATGTATGTATGTATGTATGTATGTATGTATGTATGTATGTATGTATGTATGTATGTATGTATGTATGTATGTATGTATGTATGTATGTATGTATGTATGTATGTATGTATGTATGTATGTATGTATGTATGTATGTGTGTCCGTCCGCAAAATGAAGTGAGTGAGAAGGAAGCTCATGGGATAAACAAACCGCTAACAAATCGGGTAGCTTACAGGATTTGAGATATCAATGTTTTGTAGATAGTTGTGATAACACTCTCAGGGCTATATAAACACCTGCTTAGCACACTTCCGTTCATTCCACATGGTGCTGCAGTGGCAGCTGGAGGGCAGTGGAGAGAGGAAGGGATGAGGAAGGGAAGCGAAAAATCTACCGTCATATCATGATTGTGTCCCTTCTACTGTATGAAACACCATTGTGTTGCATACGCGTCACTTCCAGGAGGTGTTGGTGTCACAGGAGGAAGGGACCATAGCGGAGGATAGAAAGCTTGCGCAGGAAAGGAAGGTCCCGGCGGTTGACGGGGGACTAATCTGGTCCTTTAAAAGCGACGTCTTTTAGAGATCCTGCGTTTTCACTTTTCACGTTAAACTCGGTCTTCTACTAGGATCTACAGTATCGTAAGATTAGAGCACTTCTTTCATACACCGTCAAATCTAGAAACTCGGCCACCTACTCCTTTCTTCCCTCGAGGTCGGATTATTGGTGCCATGCTTGTTAGGAAGGTGAAAGTGATGACTTGTGAATCTGTTTGACTCCCGCAAGTAGTTCCATGAACTATATTGCATTAGATTCCTACTATGATTCTGGTTGGAACAAAAAGCGATGGACAGATTGAAAGGAATCTGACTATTGCTCCATTATTTTTTCATTCGTTTCCTTTCCTTATCGTGTTGCTAAACCAGTTTTCCATAGTCGTATGGTGGCAAGTGGCACGCTCACCACGTCCAGCGGGTCGTGAGTCGCCCGGGCCAACCAAGCCTTCCATCCCTCCGGGGTCGGTTGGTACCAGACTTGTCTGGGAGGATAAAAACACTGACTTGTACATCGGCTGGCCCCCGCAAGTCATTGTATAGGCCACATCGCATTCAAACGCCACTACGAATGTACAAATGGAAGTAGAATGCGTGCCGCATCCCAAAAAGGGATTGATCAACGGCAAATGCTTTATCCTTTATTAAATTAATTTGAAGTTCGCTATTTTTGTTCTGTTAGCACAAGTGAACAAGTGGGTGTAGGGTTATGAGACGAAAACAGCTATCATCAACAGCGTGAACGACAGCAAAAGCTTTTTATAACTATTACATCACGAATGTGCTTAGCGGCTCAGTAGAGTAGCCTTATTTTGTTTGTAATAGTTTTTCATTTTCAATTTAGGCTTTGCGCAGTTTTCATAGCTTTTCTCCATCCCGACATCACTAACCACCTCTGCCTTAACTTTGGTGGGCTGCCTTCTAATCGTAAGCTCCGCCTTGAAGATCTATTGTTCAAGTTCCTGCCCTTCAATTATTTTATTTATTCATTATGTTTCTGGAATGTTTGTGTATCGTATTCCTCACCCGTGGGTTTTTTTTGTCACGTTTAGCCCTCTTTGCTAGACGTCTAGAGTAGCGAGTGCTTTCCTAGCGGTGGGCGTGCAGAGGCGCGAGTGGTGCAGTGCGGCCCATATGGGGCGCTGGAAGCATCCTTTGCTAAACGTGCATCGTTCAGCTCCCCTGTGGGATCCGCCTACCGTTCCCATGTGTCTTTCTCCTCTTTTACTCCACCTTGTCGTGAAATCCTTTTTCAAGCTAGTGTCCGTATTTAATGTACACCCTCACGGTCAGTGAAATGTTGTGGTAATTCTGAGAAGGAGCAAAGGAAGCAGACATAATACTGCTTTCTTTCTTTTCTTTCAATCGCTGGCTACGAAAATTTTTCGCCGCAAACCGCCGTCCTGCTGTAACTTTTGAAGGCCCGTATAAATGTTTTGCCCAATAATAACGAACCTGACAGTCAAGTGAATTCACTTCAGCTCAACTCTCAAGCTTCATTTGTAAGAAATTCGAGGTTAGATCTCAGCTTGCCAGTGGCAGCACCCGAGGACTCCACGGATCACCCGAGGATCGTGACCCTCCACTTCGACTTGAAGTTTCAACACTAATATTGTTCCTAGGCCGAAGATGCCGGTCTGTCTATTCTAGGATAGCATAGATTCGAGACCACTTCAATACAAACTGTGAAGGTCTCTATTTGAATTCAGCTAGAAATTGAGACTGAGCGTACTTTCTCCAGTCTGATGGCTTTTTGCAGCGCACTACTCAATGAAAACAAGTCACCCTACGTCATCAAGTGGAATGTTTATACTCAGTACTACAGAAGTGTTCAAGTTTGTGGTAAGAAGGTGAGTAGGTAAGTGGGTCATGGTTATGTAGTCTCAAATATCAAAACACCCTTGAAATCCACAAGAGTAGAGATTATTCGAAGGTCACGATGTAGTTTCGGAAAAAGTCACTTGGATTGATTACCAAACAACATGAAAATTTATGGATGTCGCTGCATAAAATGGTATGAGCATATTGAAATCAGTGTTTCGAAGTGAATCGGACTTGTCTATTATTATTCTTCACCTTGAGGAATTAGAATTTTGTTGAGAGGTGTTTGAGATCAATATTACAGTACCGCGGCGGTAATTGCAATTCATATACGTAATAGTAACGCTGTGCTTGGGAGGAGACTCGACTCAATCGCTCAGTTTATTCGACACTCAACAATGAATCATACAGCCGGAGCGCGGATCTTATATAGCTGCCTCAGGGGGCGGTACCGGAAGTAGGCGTGAACCTCGCTGTGATTGGCCGGTTCTCCTTACAGGCGTTAACGTGATCACTGACGACGGCTCCGGAGTATCGATCGGCTAAGGCTATAGCGGTTGAAATGGATTGTACTAAACAATGAACTTTCAACAAACAAACATAGAAACACTTCTCTAGGATAACATAACATGCCCGGCGGTGGAGAAGAGTCGTCCCGACTCTCAGCTATAACGATGTCCTTCACTGGAAGAGCCTGCCTGGGTACGATCCTTTCCAATTTTCGGTTCCTTGTGGGAGTATGTCCATGCGGGTTTCCTCTGTGCTGCAGAAAACTCGTACGCCTCCTCTTTCGGTCTTCGCTCGATTCCCTTGCTGCTCGTCCATGGGATCCACGAATGACCGGTTCACGGAACGACATATTGAGATGATGGCGGGCCTGTCCTGGATCTGCGATAACAAAGAAATTCGGCTTGAACTCGTCTCTGCGTCTTTTCGCTCGTGCAGCTTTTTCCTCGCGGCGCACTTGCTTCAGCTCGATTGACGCGGCATGAAATTCCGGCAGTCGAAGGATGTCAGCTACCGTGACGCGCAGTTTCTCCAAAAATAACACAATTTGTCTTCCATTGAACGGTGATCGCTTGAATCTTGGGTCCGTCCCAAGACACATTGCGGGATGAGTATACGGTGCCGACTCCAAGGACTTCGGTATAGTGATCCCGTACGATTGCTTCAAAACCTCGGTCGGCAGTCGTCATAAATCGTACAAACTCGGAACATACTCGTCCCATGTTAGTCCATTCCGTCACATTACTGTCCTCATAGGGACTGGGGAAGAATAGCAGCGTCCCGCCTGGCTGCAGGTGGCGCTCCAGCGCTATAAGGAGCTGCCTCATAGATCTTCCCGACGGCAGCGTCTGGCCATACGAGAATGATTGCCGTGACGATGTTGACCTCCAGCAATTTCTGGGCCAGCAACTCCCAATTCTGATAGACGTAGACAATCATCTCGCTTCCATAGTCCACTTCTGTGTGGACTCTTCCAAAAGACGACGAAGGCCTAGAAACACTCGCTGGTGGGTCACGGTCGAGGCACCAGGAACGCTGATGTGTTTCAGCATTGCCAATGCGGTGGTGATGTGGGCACCGATATCATACTTCACGGCCCATGGAAACAAAGCCGGATGCTCGAAACGCATCCCCTGCGCGGCTTCAATGGCTTCCGAGTAGATGTGGCATCTTCGTCGATGGGCTTGCATCGCTAACGCCAGCCCGTATGGCGACAAGAATTGGGAGTTTTTCATACGCAACTCCTCCTCCTTACGCTCGTCTCCCCAGCACTCCTCTTCTGAAATCGACGCCACGTTGGCTAATTGAAACATGTCCGACACCCTTTTTGAA